TCGATTTTCCTTTTTAGAAAATTGTATGTTTTTGTAATCATTTTTCTACAAAAACTGTTTTGCAATGTGACATCCTTGCCTGACGTCATTTTCATATTAGCAATTTTGGTACAAAAGATGTATTTCTGGAGCTCAAATTGATAATTACATAACTACGTAAACATTGATCACTAATTCTATCAAACATAGAAAGATTTAACCGAGCTGTAATGCAACTGATCGAAATCGTGATAGAATAAATTCATCCAACCATGATCTGACTTGCTCCGGTTGATAGACAGATTCCAGCGGAATAGGTCTGACCCAAGCATTCCTCAGTGAAAGATATGTCTAAGCGCTCAAAACATTTTACAAAAATAATAAACACTGAAAGCCAGTAGCAATATTGAATAACTGAACCGCTTGTGATTAACCTACCACAAGAAAAAATATCAGACACAGAAGACTGTATTTGACATGCCATCCAAAATGCCTGTTTTGCTTTGACTGTCGAAGATACCTAAGTTGTAGTGTTTTGGTCAGATTCAGGAACCACAAACATTCTTCAGAATGAGTCGAATGATATATCATATTGCAGCCCTTAAAACCGTGATTTGGAAGACTTTAAAAACTGCAAAAAATTTTTCCCAGAGTTGGGAGAAACTAGTTTGAATTTTTTGATTTTTGGTCTAACTTCGAGCATATGGCAAGCGAGCAAGCTCGAAAACGCTTATTTATGTAAAACTTAAGCCGCAAAGATTTAGATTCACCCGAATAAATTTATTTTTTTTTGGATTTATTGAGCAAAATGGGAATCATAAACTTCGAAAATTCAAAAAAAAATTCTCCATTAAAATACTGGAAATTTTTTCGATTTTCCCTTTTAGAAAATTGTATGTTTTTGTAATCATTTTTCTACAAAAACTGTTTTGCAATGTGACATCCTTGCCTGACGTCATTTTCATATTAGCAATTTTGGTACAAAAGATGTATTTCTGGAGCTCAAATTGATAATTACATAACTACGTAAACATTGATCACTAATTCTATCAAACATAGAAAGATTTAACCGAGCTGTAATGCAACTGATCGAAATCGTGATAGAATAAATTCATCCAACCATGATCTGACTTGCTCCGGTTGATAGACAGATTCCAGCGGAATAGGTCTGACCCAAGCATCCCTCAGTGAAAGATATGTCTAACAACATTCAGTATGGGTCGAATAATATATCATATTGCAGCCCTTTCAGACGTGATCTGTAAGACTTTAAAAGAAAACTGCGAAAATTTCTCCCAGAGTTGAGAGAAATTTGTTTAAATTTCGGTCTAATTTTGAGCAAAAGGCGAGCGAGCAAGCTCAAAATTGCTGATTTATGTATAACTTAAGCCGCAAAAACTTAGTTGTTGTCAAATAAAGTTATTTTTTGGAATTTTTTGAGCAAAATGGGAGTCAAACTTCAAAAATTCGAAAAAAATACTCCAATAAAAACTGGAAAAAGTTTTTATTTTTTTATTTTTAGAACATTGTATGTTTTTTCAATCACTTTTCTACAAAAACTGTTTTGCAGTGTGACGTCCTTGCCTGACGTCATACTTTGATATTAGCCATTGTGGTAAAAAAAAAGATGAATTTCTTGAGCTCAAACTGATAATTACTTAACTAAGTAAACATTGTTCACTAATTCTACCAAACATAGAAAAATTTAAACGAGCTGTAATACAACTGATCAAAATAGTGAAAGAATAAAATCATTCAAATATGCTCTGACTTGCTCCGATCGATAGATAGATATTAGGGGAAAAGGTCTGACCCAAGCATCCCTCAGTGAAAGATATGTCTAACCGCTCAAAACATAGTTTAACAATATTAAACAGTGATAGTCAGTAGCGTTAATGAAGAACTTAACCGCTCGTGAATAACCTACTACAAGAAAAAGTATCAGACAGAAAAGAGTGTATATGAAATGACATCCAAGTTGCCTGTTTTGCTATTACTGTCGAAGATACCTAAGTTGCAGTTTTTCGGTCAGATTCAGGAACCAAAAACAATCATCAGAATGTGTCGAATATTTAATCATATTGCAGCCCTTTCAGTCGAGATTTGAAAAATATTTAAAAAAACCGCGAAAAAATTCTCCCAGATTGGAGAAAAACTAGTTTGAAATTTTTTATTTTTGGTCTAATTTTCAACAAAAGGCAAGCGAGCAAGCTCAAATTAGCTTATTTATGTATAACTTAAGCCGCAAGGTTTTAATTTTAGTCGAATCAAGTTTTTTTTTCGCTCAAAACATAGTTTAACAATATTAAACAGTGATAGCCAGTAGCGTTAATGAAGAATTTAACCGCTCGTGAATAACCTACTACAAGAAAAAATATCAGACAGAAAAGAGTGTATTTGAAATGACATCCAAGTTGCCTGTTTTGCTATTACTGTCGAAGATACCTAAGTTGTGGTTTTTTGGTCAGATTCAGGAACCAAAAACAATCATCAGAATGTGTCGAATATTTAATCAAATTGCAGCCCTTTCAGTCGTGATTTGAAAAATATTTTAAAAAACCGCGAAAAAATTCTCCCAGAGTGGAGAAAAACTAGTTTGAATTTTTTGATTTATGGTCTCATTTTCAGCAAAAGGCAAGCGAGCAAGCTCAAATTTGCTTATTTATGTATAATTTAAGCCGCATGGTTTTAATTTTAGTCGAATAAAATTTTTTCTCGAATTTGTCGAGCAAAATGGGAATCATAATTTTCAAAAATCAAAAAAAAAATTCTCCAACAAAAATGGAAAAGCTTTTGGTTTCTTCCTTTTTAGAACATCGTATGTTTTTTCAATCACTTTTCTACAAAAACTGTTTTGCAATGTGACGTCCTTGCCTGATGTCATACTTTGATATTAGCCAATTTGGTATAAAAAATGTATTTCTGGAGCTCAAACTGATAATTACTTACGTAAACAATGATCACTAAGTCTACCAAACATAGAAAACTTTGACCGAGCTGTAATACAACTGATCAAAATAGTGAAAGAAAAAAATCATCCAACCATTCTCTGACTTGCTCCGATCAATCAATAGATTTTAGAGGAATATGTCTGACCCAAGCATCTCTCAGTGAAAGATATGTCAAAACGCTCAAAACATATTACAACAATATTGTACACTGATAGCCACTAGCGCTAATGAATAACTTAACCGCTCGTGAATAACCTACCACAAGACAAAATATCAGACAGAAAAGACTGTATATGACATGACATTCAACCTGCGTTGTGCTTTGACTGTCGATGATACCTAAAGTGTTGTTTGTTCGTCAGATTCAGGAACCACAAACAATCTTCAGAATGGATGGAATAATATATAATATTGCAGCTCTTTCAATCGTGATTTGAAAGACTTTAAAAAAACTGCGAAAACATTCCTCCAGAGTTGAGAATAACTAGTTAGAATTTTTCGAGTTTAGGTCTAATTTCGAGCAGAAGGCGAGCGAGCAAGCTCAAAATTGCTTATTTCTGTATAAATTAGGCCGCAAAAATTTAGTTTTAGTCGAATAAAATTTTTTTGGCCTTTTTGAGCGAAATGGGAATTATTAACTTCAAAAAAAATCAAAAAAATCTCTCAATCAAAAATTGGAAAAAAATTTAGTTTTTTCTTTTTTAGAACATCGTATGTTTTTTCAATCAATTTTCCATAAAAAAAAACTGTTTTGCAATGTGACGTCCTTGCCTGACGTCATACTTCGATATAGGCAATTTTGGTATAAAAGGTTTAATTCTGGAGCTCAATTTGATAAATACTTAACTACGTAAACATTGATCACTAATTCTACCAAACATAAGAAAAATTTAAAGAGCTGTGACACGACTGATCAAAATAGTGAAAGAATAAATTCATCCAACCATTGTCTGACTTGCTCCGATCTATAGATAGATTCTAGAGGAACAGGTCTGACCCAAGCATGCATCAGTGAAAGATATTTCTAACCGCTCAAAACATATTACAACAATAATAAACACTGATAGCCAGCAGCGCTAATGAATAACTTAACCGCTCGTAAATAACCTACCACAAGACAAAATATCAGACAGAATAGACTGTATATGACATGACATCCAATCTGCCTGTTTTGCTATGACTGTCGATGACACCCAAGTTGTAGTTTTTCGGTCAGACTCAGGAACCATAAACAATCTTCAGAATGTGTCAAAATATATATCACAATGCAGCCTTTCAGTCGTGATTTGAAAGACTTTAGATGAAATTGCGAAAAAAATCTCCCAGAGTTGATAGAAACTGGTTACATTTGTTTGATTTTTGGTCTTATTTCGAGGAAAATGCGATTGATCAAGCTTGAAATAGCTCATTTTGTACAGTTTAAGCCGCAGAAACTTAGTTTTAGTCAAATAAATTTATTTTTTGGAAATTTTCAAGCAAAATGGGAATCATATTTTCAAAAATCAAAAAAAAAATTTCTCCAACAAAAATGGAAAAGCTTTTGGTTTCTTCCTTTTTAGAACATCGTATGTTTTTTCAATCACTTTTCTACAAAAACTGTTTTGTAATGTTAAGTCCTTGTCTGACGTCATACTTTGATATAAGCTATTTTGGTATAAAAGATGTATTTCTGAAGCTCAAACTGATAATTACTTAGCTATGTAAACATTGATCACTAACTCTACCAACCATAGAAAGATTTAACCGAGCTGTAATACAACTGATCAAAATAGTGAAAGAATAAAATCATTCAACCATGCTCTGACTTGCTCCGATCGATAGATAGATATTAGGGGAAAAGGTCTGACCCAAGCATCCCTCAGTGAAAGAT